ATGAAGAGCATTTAAGGAAAATTCTGGCATCCGCTGTGTGTAACATGCAGAGCTCAGCTTCACTTTTTGAGCACTGTGTCTGGCAAAACTCTTCCTATAAATGTTTGAATGTGTGCTCGACAAAACTACAGATCTGGGAGAATACTTGGCAGCTGTTCAATAACAGTTTGAATTGTGACTTCTTGTCATTTATGATGCTGAAGAGCCTATCTATTAAATTAAGTCTTTATGTTGATCTTGGAGGTCATTGTGTTTCTATATCGCCTACTTGATGAAAAAGAGAACTTCAGGCAGCCTCGAGAGATGAATTAGATCTAGCCTTGATCCCAGCTGTTGTTTTTGTTTGTTCGCTTGTTCATTTGTTTATTCATTCAACAAGTATAAGCCATGCCATCATGCCCTGTGCTAAACAAGTTTGGGTTTAGCCTGGAGCAAGAGTGATTCAGATCCTCCTTACTTAAATCTTTGTTAACTAAGATAAATACGTCAAACAAATTTCAGTCATCTGATCAGCAGGGGAATTCATGGATCTTGTGTACCTTGAGAGCAGCCTTCATTTGAAGGTAGAAGTATGAAAAGACTCTCTCAGGTAGAGTCTTTTCTTACTCAGTTATTCCCAAGACTAGGCATAAGCAGTTGTTTTCCCCTGGCAAATCTTGAGTGTGGATTTTATGTAAGTTTTGTTTTTTTTTTTCATTTTATTTGAAGGACAGACAGACAGACATGCAAGAAAAACATCTTTGATCTGCTGATTTACTTCCCAATTGCTGGTTTACTTCCTAAACATCTGCAACAGCCAAAGTAGCCAGGTCTCAAACCAGCCGCCCTGATGCGAGATGTGGGTATATTGAGCAGCAACTTAACTGCTGAGTCAAATGCCCACACCTAGGCCACTATCTTAGCAACTTAATTCTTGCTAGCATATCTAAGAGAATTGAGTAAATCTACCTGTGAGTTCATTCCTAGTCTAATTTTCAGTGAAGTGAAATATATCAACATTTCCCCTGGTGGAGTAATGCATTTAATGCTAACCTAAACCTCACTGTATTCTCTTTTTGTCTTTGTTGTCTGTTACCATTTATTTTGGGTCCAAACGGTTGAGTGTTCCAGTTGTGACCCTCTTGAATATGTTAGGTTATGGAAGTACAGTCCCAACCTTGAGTAGTTTACCGGTGTACATTGTGCATGTGTATATATTAGTACACGGCTTCAGTTGCTTCCCCATGCAGTAATGACATTTCAGGGACATGACAGTGGCTTTCTAATGGCGTTTAAAGGATAAGAAGGATGGGGCTGGCACTGTGGTGCAGTGGGTTACAGCCCTGGCCTGAAGCGCCAGCATCGTATGGGCGCCAGTTTGAGACCAGCTGCTCATCTTCCGATCCAGGTCTCTGCTATGGCCTGGGAGAGCAGTAGATGACCCAAGTCCTTGGGCCCCTGCACCCACATGGGAGACTGGAGGAAGCTCCTGGCTCCTGGCTTCAGATTGGCTCAGCTCCAGCCGATGCAGCCATCTGGGGAGTGAACCAGCGGATAGAAGACCTCTCTATCTGTCTCTACCTCTCTCTGTAACTCAGTCTTTCAAATAAATAAAATAAATCTTTAAAAAAAAAAAATAGAGGATAAGAAGGAGACTGCTTTGTATAGAGAGGTAAAGACCTGGATAAGATCATGTTTATGTAGAGACTTGGAGGAAGTGAGGCGATGTTCTGGTTATCTACTGCTGCGTAACAAACTTTCCCTGTACTGCTTGGAACAGGAGTTGGCATTTTTTTCCATAAACCCCAGATGGGAGATAGTGGAGATGTCAGAACCATCATGGCTGCTCTTCTGTTGTTTGAAAGCATCCACAGACAGTGCCCAAGTGGCTGTGTTCCAGTGAGACTTCCTTTACAAATGCTGGTAGCAGATTGAATTTGAATGAAGGCCATAGTTTGCTGACCCTTGACTTAAACAACAAATCATTCAGTACTGAGCTTACAAACTGGGGGTCTGGTGGGTTTTGTCAGGTTGGGCTAAGGACTGAGATCATCGGTGAGATCTTTTCCTCACAGCTCTCTCTCCTGGGTTGGAACATTCCTGTCTCTAGGGTCTCCCTGTTGGATCTTGCCAGCTTGGCAGCTTCAGGGCTTCCAGGCTTTGTGGCCAGAGGGAGTGAACTGGAGCCATGAGGCCTTTTTTAGCCTTGCTTGAAAGTCAGTTGGTATCACTTGTCAGTGCTGTCACATTTTACTTGACTGGATGAGGGCTGTGCAAACATGGCTCCCAAGCTAAATCCATCCAGCTGTCTGTTTTTATAAATAAAAATGTATTAGAACACAGCCACACCCATTCCTGTGTGTTGTCAGTGACTATCACGTGCTACAATTGTAGAATTAGGTATCTGACAAAGGCCGTGTCTCTTGACCAAGAAAGTATTTCAGGCTGGACGTGGGCCCTTTCAGCAGCTCACCTGCTGAGAGGGTGGAGAGATGGCAAGGTTCTGGAAGAGCAAGTGCAGCTAGAGATCTTGTGGGAGCCATTTTAGGAAGTGCATTCCGGGTCAGGTGAGGTGGCACAGTGGGGAGTGAGGTGCACAGCCTTGGGCTTTCAGTGTGGTCAGACGGGCGTCCACAGGAGAGCTCTGAGATGAGTGACAAGATCTGGCTCGCAGTTTTGAAGGACCGTGTCGGCTGCTGTGAGGGCAGTAGATCGTGGGGAGCAAGTGCAGAGGAGGGGAGACTGTTCAGCAGGATATTAGTTACCAAGAGAAGAGGATGGTTTAGATCAGAGTGGTAAGAGTAAAGATAAAAGGGTTTCTGAATATGGTTTTGAAGGTAGAACTGCTAATATTTGCTGAAAGATTAGGTAGTAAGGTGAAAGAAAAAGAAGTCAGAGGTGACCCCAGGTTTTTGTCCTGGGTAAATGGGGTCGATGGGCTGAAAGGGGGAGATGCATGGGGAAAACAGGTTTTAAAAGAAATCAGGACTTTGTTTTTGGACATGGTAAGTTTGAAATGCCTATTGGATGTATGATGGGAATGTCAGTACTTAGTTAAGTCAAGTTCATGAGGCAGGAAATGCGGAAGTTGACAGAGTGTATTCAAAATGGTAGAAGTTGTTTGGGAAGTGAGTTTGGATGGGAGAGCCAAGCGTGCAGGTGTCATCTGACAACATGGGCTTCAGAAAGAGGGTTCTTCAGGAGAAGGAAGGCGTGGTCTGAGCTGGCCGCAGGCAGCAGTCTGGATACCCACTCACCTCCGTGTAAAGTGAGGATTTTCTTCCCTGAGCTTGCCCCACCATCACCATCACCATCACCGTCACCGTCACCGTCACCGTCACCATCACCATCACCATCACCGTCACCATCACCATCACCATCTTGTTTGGATTTAAGCACGGGAAACCTAGAAATCTTAATGTGACATCTGCAGAAGATTGCAAATGGAACATGCACGTGGAAGTCGGGAGCATTGGCCTTCATTCCTTCCCCAGTCCCTGAGGCTTTGTGACTGTCTACTTGGAGCCTCTCTGAAAACCACTGCCCGAGTGTGGGCAAAGTGAATTGCTGAGAGATGTCTCATTCTGCCCCCCTGCTGCTCAAAGCCCTCCTCAGGGCTCACCAGGGTCTGTCAGCACCTAGCCCCTGCTTCACTCCTGTCTTGAACTCTGAGCCCCACCCAGGCTGACCCTGTTTCAGTTCCTCACACCTCTGGTCATTTTCTGTGCCTTTGCACAGGGTCTTCTCCTCCTGACACCTGCACTGGTCTTCAGGTCTCCGTTTAGACTGGTGTTCTCCTGCTAGCTCCTTGAGCTCTAATTTATGACCTCCTGCTTTTTTCCCATGGCAGCCTGTGCGTTGCCCTATTGTGGCATTTCCCATACTTGATGTTTTTAATCATCTGTCGTCCTTACTGTGCTGGTAGCTACCCAGGAGCAGGAACCGTGTCTGTCTTCCTCACTCCTGCATTGCCATCCAGGCACTTAAATATGTGTTGACATTTGTACCAAATCAGTTACTAACCATGGAAAAAATAGAAAATTATACTAAGGTATGGTAAAATTACTCTTATGCAAGACTGAAAATGGGAATACATAAAACTGAGTAACAACTATTTTACAATGATTGAACTACAGGTCTGCTTTCTTTAGTATGTTTCAAGTGTTTTGTAATTTATTTATTTGATTTTAAATGTCTTAATTCTAATGTTTTTCTTCCTTTTCAATGCCTGAAATACAGCACCATTAGATCCTTGGTGGTTTTGCTCCAAAACTAGACTCAATCTAGAGTAGTTCCCGAGATCCAGAGCAGCATAGTTTTACTGGGAATAACCTAAAGTGCTTGGAAGTCAGTTGGTATCACTTGTCAGTGCTGTCACATTTTACTTGACTGGATGAGGGCTGTGCAAACAGCCCTTGAGTTACTGTTCCAGTAACTCAAAAAGCTTCCCATTTTCAAAATTTATTTCTCTAAGATAAAACATCAGGCAGGATAGCAATGATGATATTGTTGCCTTCTTTTTTGTTTTATGTTTTTCTATTTATCAAGTGAGCCTTCACTGTTTTCCCCATCCTTTGAGGCATTATCATCATTGCTACAAAAATAGTGCTTAAGTATTCAGTATTTGTTAAGTTCTGTGTACTGTGCCTTCCAGTCATAGATGTGGCAACTGTTGTAGCTAAAGTAACGGAGGTCCAGAGAACTCAGGTGACCTCTGAAGGACACAAGCTCAGTTAGAGGCTGACTGGGATTAAGTCAAAGCCACTGCTCTTAGTGAAGCCCCTGCTCATAATACTGCGGAGTAAAGACTTTTTTCCTTGCTTGTGTATTCATCTCAAGAATAATTTGATCTATGTGTAAATGAGGAGTTTTCAGTGTATTTGTAATTTATGCTCATCACTCCATGTTGAGTCTGGATAAAACCTGTCCTTTGCAGTCCTGTTGCATAAAACAGTACATAATTTTTTGTGGTTTGAAGTTGTTTGTGTACTGGACTCTGATGCTTTTCCCTCTCTCCACAGCTGTGCATGCCCAAAGGGCTGTCATTCAGGACACAAACGGACAATAAAGACCCTCAGTTCCACTCATTTATAATTACCCGGGAAGATGGTTCTCGCACCTACGGTTTTGTCCTCACTTTTTATGAAGAAGTTACAAGTAAGCAGATCTGCACAGCGATGCAGACACTGTACCAGATGCACAATGCGGAGCATCCCGGTAGCGTGCATGCTTCCTCCTCCTGCAGCATGGACTCCCTCGCCAGCAGCTGCGAGGAGGGCGACACAACCTCCCTCCTGAAACTGCAGCGGTACAACTCCTACGACATCAACAGAGACACCCTGTATGTTTCCAAAAGCATTTGCCTCATCACCCCGCTCCCCTTCATGCAAGCCTGCAAGAAATTCCTGTTCCAGCTTTACCGGGCGGTTACCTCCCAGCAGCCACCGCCCTTGCCACTAGAGAGCTACATCCACAATGTTCTCTATGAGGTGCCCCTTCCACCTCCGGGGAGGTCACTGAAATTTTACGGCGTGTACGAACCTGTCATCTGCCAGAGACCTGGACCCAATGAACTCCCGCTCTCCGATTACCCTCTGCGAGAGGCCTTTGAGCTCCTGGGACTGGAAAACCTGGTGCAGGTGTTCACCTGTGTTCTTCTGGAGATGCAGATCCTTCTCTATTCACAAGGTGGGTCTTTTCTGGAGTCCGAGTTTTCCAGAACCAAGTGTTCGCCACTTTCTCGGCTGTATTTCCTGTAGAGTAATGATTGCAGGCTCTTTCTCTTAGGTGTAGAAGCACATACGGTGGGAGCAGAGGCTGAGATGTTGCTTCTCTTTGAGGTGGCAGTGGCTATAGAAACAGGAATGGAGTTGGCTAATTTGTTGTTGTTTTTAATGGAAATACCCACTTTTTCCTAATAACATAAACTTATCAGAAAAGAAACATCCGTTCTTTTCACAGTGAGACTAGGGCAGATCCTGTTACTACCCAGGAGTATGTGGACTTCCCATTCTTTGCAGATTAGTAAAGGTTGAGTTCAGAACATCTCTGATAATGGAAGGAAATAAATGAAACTTGATTTGGCAAGTTCATGAGACAGTCAACTCTGGATCCTTGCCTGTGGGAGTGCTTCCTGTGAGTGAGAGATGACAGCGATGTGGCTTTCCCAGTTTGCCAGAGTGTGTGTGGAGGGAGGGAGACAGACAGACAGAGAGATAAAGAGAGAAAGAGAGAGAGAATTGTTTTTGTTTTTATTTAATCCTGGATGAAAATTATCCTTGTGATATCTTTTCCTCAAAGTTTTCCCAGCACCTAGTTGAGAAACAGCCTATAACTGAGCAGCGTGTTAGCAGTGAGTACTGTGGCGCCTGGACTGGAGCCCCAGTTTCCATGTGCATAGGAACTCGAGGGGGACGTGGAGGTGTCGTGTCCTAAGGGACAGTGGGCGGAAGGCAGTCAGGAAGTGGTAGCTCTGCGGTGCTGGATCCGGTGCAGAGCGCGGCACCAATATTTGGGTGGCATCCTGCCAGCTTGTGCTTCGGCTGGCAGAAGAGCAGCGCCGGCTCCTGACTGCTGCTCTCACGCTCGTTTCACCACTTGGCTTTTTTTATTTTCCTATTTTAGATTATAAGTGAAACTGAGCCAAGTAGACTATATTCGTACTTCCCCATCTTGTGTGTATGTTGACACTGTTTGTGTGTTGACAGCCGTTCACGAGGCTCTATTTTCTTGTTTATCCTACATGATGTTCTTGGATAATATGTCCCAGGTCTCAGTTTGTGTTGTCAGGAGGTTCCTCTCAAATGGTTGATCTGGATTCTTTATCTTGATCTCATTTTCTTAGTGCTCGGTACCTGTAAGTCATCTGTTCTGTATCTGAAAGATTAAACTTAAGTAATTCTCTTGCTTTCTTACTTTTGTCCCTGAAAGGGTTAGGGGGTAGAACGCGGCAAAGGCATGAAGCTTAATACCCTTAGGTGTGTTGGCCCAACAGAAAAAGAATTTGATTCTAGACTTACAAGGAATCTTGAAGGCTATGTACTTTATTTTCTTTTTAAAGCTTGAGGCAGATACTCTGCCTTTTATTTTTTAATGACTTATTTATTAATTTATTTGAAAGAGTTACAGAGAGAGTGGGAGGTAGAGAAAGACTGATCTTTTATCCTCTGATTCACTCTCCAAATAGCTGCAATGGCGGAGGCTGAGCCAGGAGAAGCCAAGAGCCAGGAGCTTCTTCTCCATACCCAAGTAGGAGACCCAAACACTGGGGCTTTCCCAGGAGGCTGCTTTCGCAGGCCATTAGCAGGGAGCTGGTTCAGAAGTAGAAGAGCTGGGACTTGAACCAGCGCCCATATGGGATGCCAGCACTGCAGGTGGTAGCTGAACCCTCTGTGCCACAGCACCAGCTCCAAGACCATTTACTGTAATTTCCTAATATTCTACCAGCAGGAGCAGTTCTGGTGGAAACAGTATGACATTTTGGGATCATAATAATCCTCGGTCCAAGTCTTTGCCTTGTCCCTTACTAACTGTAACCATGGTCATGTTAGATAATCTTCTGGAGTTTGTCAGTTTTCTCATTCCTCAGGGGATAACAGTGTTGGGATTCCTCCCTCTGTTTTATTGTGAAGGTTGAATAAGAAAAATTGTATAAAATAATTAGGATATAATTGACACTGCCCAAAGGATTGCTCATGTAGGTGTAATTATTATTTTATTAGTCATCTACAAACCTCTATAAATTGTGAAGATATAGTATATTACTACACTTATTTGTTTATTTTAATCTATTCAGGAGGCAGAGAGATAAACAGAGACTGAATCAGGGAGAGAGAGACAGGCAGACAAGAATTTGCATCCTTTTGTTCACAACCCAGATATCCACAGTGGCCAGGACTTGGCCAAGGGGAATCCAGGAGCCAGGAACTCAATCCAGGTCTCCCTTACAGGTGAAACAGAGCTGACTACTTGAGCCATCACCTGCTGTCTCCCAGGGAGTCTGCACTGGCAGTATGACATCAGGAGCCGGAGCTGGGAATGGAACTGTTGTGTGGGAAACAAGCAACTTTTTCTTTTTTCTTCAAAAAGATTTATGTATTTGAAAGGCAAGGTGATAGAGAGGGAAAGATAGAGACATCTTGCATCTACTTGTTCATTTTCCACATGGCTGTGAGGGCCAGGTCTGGGACAGGCCGAAGGCAGGAATTTCAAACACCATCCTGGTGTCCCAGAGAGGCCAGGTGCTCAAGTACTTGGGCCATCTTCTGCTGTCTTCCCAGTCACATTGGCAAGAAGCTGGATCAGAAGTAGAGCAGCTGAGACTTGAGCTGGTACTCCAGTATAGGAGGCCAGCATCATAAGTGGTGGCTTAACCACTGTACCACCCCAGTCCTGCAAACAGGCCTGCAAACTGACATCTTATCCACTAGTTGAAGCATCTGCCCCATTGCTACTTTTTTTTTTTTTCTTTTTTTTGACAGGCAGATTTAGACAGAGAGAAAGGTCTTCCTTCCATTGGTTCACCCCCCACTTGGCTGCTACAGCTGGTGCACTGCGCCAATCCGAAGCCAGGAGCCAGGTGCTTGCTCCTGGTCTCCCATGTGGGTGCAAAGCCCAAGCACTTGGCCCATCCTCCACTGCCCTCCCGGGCCCCAGCAGAGAGCTGGACTGGAAGAGGAGCAACCAGGACGGAACCTGTGCCCCAACCGGGACTAGAACCTGGGGTGCTGGGGCCGCTGGTGCAGGTGCCGTAACAGATTAAGCCACTGCTATAATGCTGGCCCCACATATGGGTACTGGTTTGATTGCCGGCCCCCCCGTTGCTACTTTTAAAATACAACGCTGTTACTTTAAAAAGTCAAGATGTTTGCTCCAGGGTTGAGAATTTAATGAATGTTCTTTTGTAATATGTGCCATGCTTTTTTTAGAAAAAGAGAAAGCTTTGCATTATCACACTTCTTTTAGATAACACTTCACGTCTCCGTGCTTGTGGTGTATGCTGAACCCTGGTCTGTTGGGTTAACTTGTCCCCTCTGGTTTCTGGAGACTGTTTATTGAAAATTTTCACTGATGGATATTTACTGATTGCAGTGTCAGTTGAAGAAGGAGTATTTACAAACATATTTTCGTACTCTGAATAGTTTTTGGTAATGTGATCTTATGGTGAGAACAGTAGAGTGAATTCTGAGGTTATAGAACTAGATTTTTTCCTAAAGTATAATACAAAGAACAAAAAATGTGCCATTGTGTAAGTTTGTAACCATTTGCTAAAATCATCCCATGTCAGGATTATCCTTCAGAAATGGACTGTGTTTTTTGGGTTTTTCCCCTGCATTTAATCCTCTCAGCAGTGAGTGAGTGCTGCTGTCCGTGTCTTATCTGGGAGGAGGCTGGGGTGCAGAGGAGCTAAGTGCTCTGTGCTGGTCCCCAGCAAATTAGGTGGCTCTGAGAACCAGGCTTGCCTCAGTCTTTCCCCAGAGTTCACTGATGCAGTCACTGCTCTTACCTTTCGTTATCTGTCTCAACATTTATTTTTAAATTATTAACTCACTCTATAGGTCTATTAAAAGGTATCATGCTAAATAATTTTAGAGAATAAAATGAGAGTGCTGTGTAAATGCAGATTTTAACATTGACATTGTGTCTCCCATTAGAGGAAGACATTTCATTTTAATGAATGAAATAAAAGAGCCATTATGTTGATTTGTACTCTGGTGCCCTCCTTCACTCTTCCTGACTATGTTAAGGAGGTTTTAGTAACACCTGATACCTCCTTTATTTCACAAGCAAAGCTATGTCCTAAAATTTAAAAATGCTGCAAGTCCTGAACAATTACCGTAAAAGCCCAAAGTGAATCCAGGTAGATGGATTTCAGTGATCAGAATGTAGACTGATTTCAAATTCTGGACCATAGCCCACTTTAACAGATGCAATCTGTTATTTGGAGTGTGCACATCACAGTCACTTTGCAGTGGTAACCAGCAAGACATTTTAAATAGAGGGTGAAACAGGAGGAACCCTCTAGGTCCACACTTCAGAAAAGAGCACTTTTCCTACAGCCTGCACTTACCTGGAGCAGAATAGAGGGATGATTAGAATTGCAGTTCCTTTTCAAAGGATTCAAACATGGAGAATTTTTTTTTTTTTTTTTTTTTTTTTTTGACAGAGTGGACAGTGAGAGAGAGAGACAGAGAGAAAGGTCTTCCTTTGCCATTGGTTCACCCTCCAATGGCCGCTGTGGCCGGTGCATCACGCTGATCCGAAGCCAGGAGCCAGGTGCTTCTCCTGGTCTCCCATGGGGTATAGGGCCCAAGTGCTTGGTCCATCCTCCACTGCACTCCCTAGTCACAGCGGAGAGCTGGCCTGGAAGAGGGGCAACCGGGACAGAATCCGGTGCCCCGACTGGGACTAGAACCCGGTGTGCCGGCACCGCAAGGCGGGAGGATTAGCCTAGTGAGCTGCGGCGCCGGCCCAAACATGGAGAATTTTAAATGCCAATATTTGAACTTTTGATAAAAGAAAAAACATTGTGTTGGCCGGCACCACGAATCAATAGGCTAATCCTCCGCCTGTAGCGCCGGTACCCCGGGTTCTAGTCCTGGTCAGGGCGCCAGCTTCTGTCCCAGTTGCTTCTCTTCCAGTCCAGCCCTCTGCTGTGGCCCAGGAGTGCAGTGGAGGATGGCCCAGGT